CGTCGCACTGCAAGCGGCATCCTTGCAGTGGTGACAGGAGTGTCCCGAACAATAGCGGTGTGCTCGAGCCCAAGCTTGCAGGTTTTCGGGGATCGGCAAGCTGAGCACAACAGGATTTTCTTCGCAGGTAGAATCAGGTAGAAAAGATTTGGCCCAACCCTGGTGGATCTGCCTGGACACAAATAACCAGAGGCATCAGTGTCGTAAAGCTCATTGACTGGTGCTACTGAGAAACTGTTGCCAAAGAACTTGCAGTAGGACTGTGGTGCGGCGCAGTGCAAGTTGAAGAGCAGCTGTTGGTGGCTGCTCCCCGGAAAACCAATAGTCCAAGAAAGCCTCCTTCGGCCTCGCTCCGTGCTGAGGGTTTGTAAGGGTTGGTATTGGCCGGAAGGATTCAGATGGAGGTTACCCGATCTTCGCGCTTTTCCCATCTGAAGGCAACCAATGGTAATCAGCCTGCTGGACATGGCAGGCCTGCTTTTGTTTACATCCACGTCTCCTGCAAGGGCTGGGGTCTGTCCGTGCACACAGACAAGGCGGAACCTTGCAGATGTTTAGGTCCTCGCGGCACGGCCGCTGGAGGTTGTTTGAAGATGTTGGCTCTCACTGTCTGGTGAGTGGTTTGTATGGGCACTTGCTGGGGCAAGGCGGCTCTGGCGTCTGAGGATGGTACATGTGCTGGCTGCTGAGTACGGGCCACCGAAAGAGACCTGTGGTAAGACAAGCGATGAAAGGAGCCGAACTCCTAAACTCTAGGACAGGCTAGCTCACGCGGACGCCACGCAGAGTATGTGTCACTATCTTCAGATGTTGGAGCCAAATTGCCTCGCCGTGTGACGTGAGATGTGGTGTTTGGATTCGGCCTCAAGCACTGGAAGGCCTACAACAACAAATCCGAATGAAAACTGTGGTCCTAAGACACGCGGAGCAGCTGCTTATACGTGGCACCGCGGGGGTCACAAAGAGATAGAGGGCTTGCCAGCAAGGGAACTCTGTCTAGAGATAGCCCTGGCTCAGTGAGGAGCTGAGGGCCTGGCTGCGCAGATGCAGCGGAATGGTTGTTCGGCCTCGCCTCCGCTGAGGGAACAACAGTCAATGCTTCTCTGCAGTGTCGGTCCGGGTTAGTAAGAGCGAGAACGCCGGGACCTCGAGCTGCAGTTTTACCATGAAGCAACCGCGTGAGATGCATTATTGGTCAACTGGTGAGTAAGAGCGAGAAAGCCAGGGTGACGCTACTTTGGGGGAGGCTGCAAGGCACGGTTAGTAAGTGCGAGAAAGCCGGAGCTGCGGACGAACCTGGAGTAGCAGTCTTTCATACCTCACGTGTTTCACTTTGCGGCCTCGCATGCGCTGAGGAATATGCCTCGAACAGAACATCCAGTGCTGAGTGGGGATTGCCAAACTTACGGAGGCTGATGCCACAACAAGTGCCTCAACAGCAATGCATGCGGAGGGCAAAGTTCGGCCTCGCGAGTGCTGAGGGTTGCAGCTGAGAGAGGGCCTAGCTGAGAACGCAACACCTCAAGCGAGGTAATTTTTAGTTTAGTTTCACCTTGACCAACGGCCCCTTCGGGTGGCTACGCGACGCAGCGTGCAGACGAAAGTTCCTGTCTGGCTCAAGTTTCGGCTCAACCCCGGTGGGGTGCTCAGGTAGGGAGTGCTGTTGCCTGGAGACTGTACCTAAGGGTGGGCTCCAACAGGACTCAAACCGAAACCACTGTGTTTGCTTGGTAGTCGGCTGCCAGCAACATAGCTGCCTGAGTACGGCCTCGCCAAGTGCTGAGGGAACTTTTTGGCCTCGCATCGGCAGAGGGTGTGTTTTCGGCCTCGCTTCGGCAGAGGGGGGGGAAGTTTCGGCCTCGCTCCGGCTGAGGACACATAAAGTTCGGCCTCACTACGGTTGAGGGGATCTTCAGGCCTTGCATTGCTGAGGTGCTGGTGGGACTGGCATCAGGCTGCAGCAGTCATGGGGAAGCATTGCTCCTCCTTTTCTTTTTCGCTCAGGTCTTGGCTGCTTCGGCCACCAAAGCTCCGAGATATCTCCCTCCTTTTCGTGCCTGCAGGCCCGGCATTTGCCTAAAGCTCATTTGACCCAGTGACTTTGAGCTACATCCCAAGCCTTCGGTTTTCCCCCCCTGTGTAGGAATGCGTCCCATTCCCTACGGAGCCCTAGGCCGTGCTTGGCTCAGTGCGTCCTTTCTGCTGGCATTCAGTAGGGAGCTTTGCCTACACCCTCTCCTCTTCCTCTCAAGAGTCAGGCTGGCTTCCCCTTGTCGGCTATTTCGGAGCCTGCTACAGGCTGTCAAGATTGTCACACAGCCCTAAATCCTCGGCTCTTCGCAGCTTTGGCATTTCAACCCCACGCGCTAGGACACGCCAGTCCAGGGCAAGCGTGCGCTTTGGCGAGAAGGACGGCTCCTTCTTGTTTTTGCTGTGCTTTGTGACATGCCACGCAGCACTGCCCTAGCCCGCAGCTCCCCGTGGCCAGTATCACAATCTTCCTCTTTGGAGGCACATTCCTTTCCCTTGGGGTAGCTCGGCATGTGGCAGACAGAATTTCTTTGTGCGGCTTCCTCTGCCCTTATTGGGACACTGCCCCTAGGCCTGGCTTTCGACCTGTGGGTCTTTCGGGTGGTAGGATAGGTTCCTTCAGCTGGTTTTAGGCCCCATGCTGCAACCCCGCCAGGAGATATGCGCCGCTCAGCACTTCAGATCCGCGCATCGTTTATCGGAGTAAATAAACGCGCGGAGGCTTTTTCATGTTATTCCACTTTGGAAGGTTCCTATTAACCTTTCTCATGCTTGGACGGCCTGACAAGCAGCAGCAGTGCCTAACGGCATCTCGTTTCTCGCGCGGCCTCGGTCCCATGTGGCTCTCAGGGAGCATTCGAGCACTCTTTGCATTTGATCATGGAACGCTTTACATTTCCTTTTACTACACATCACTTTGAAAGGCTCCCGCATTTGGCTTTTCTACCCGCGAGCCGTGCACATGGACCGCTCTGACGAGGTGGCCTTTCTACGGGAGGAAGTCTCTCGTCTCAGGCACCAGGTAGCCATCCTGCAAGGGGACCTGTCGGGCGCCCACCTCACTACGGATGGCCTGCTCACTCGTGTACTCGCTCTGGAGCAGTCGTCCAGTGGGCACACAGTCCGGTTGTCTGACATGGAGGCCGACCTCGAGCTTTGCAACACTCGTTTGGCGGAGGTTCAGGCCTCTCTGTGTGCAGTCATACAAGGCATTGGATCTGTCCTTTGCTCTGTGCTCCGACAGTTGGGCAATCGACCCTAGCTGTGCTTTTCCTTTCCCCTCTTTACTGGAGGGTCCTCACGTGACACGACTTCTATGAGGCGACTGGCTTTCGGGAAGGAGCTCTGGTTTTTGGCTCTGCGCTTGGAACTTTGAGTCGCGGAAGCCACGTTAACCACTCCGTTTGAGCCACCCAGTCAACTGGGGGGCATGCCTGGCACGTCTTCGCTCACTTTTGAAAATTGGGCTGTCTGGGGCGAGCTTTGACTTTGCCAGTGTTAAATTGGTGGTAAGCTTTGTCTACTCAGTGTTGCCGCAATTCGATTGCTTGCTTTGTGCTTCGTACTCTGAGCTGCATTTCCGGCAAAGTCAAAAAAGGAGAGAGCGTGTGCTTATGGTAGGTGCTTTTCGGGCCTGGACTTTTAGGGCTAGGTAGTGGCTTTGGTAGTGTGGCTTGAACTAGCTGTGAACGGTTCATGTGTTTACTCATGTCTGTTTACTGTTGTGAAAGATCACCGTACTTGGTTGCCTTTGGTTCAAGCCACACACCGAATTCTTGCAGTTTCTATTGCATCGCTTAGTAGCTTCGCTTTGGCTTTCCCACCCACCACTCCCATTATGAGGATTTATTCTTCATCTGGGACGGGTATCACGACTGGAGCTTGCTGCTCCTCTTGCACTTGTTTCACAGCAATGCTTGCTACTACTTCAAGACGTGTCCCAAACTAGCAAGCTGTCTTCCGGGTTTGCTCCTTGAGGCTCCTTTCTCTCAACTTGTTTGCTACCTTCTAGCTGTTGTGCCTCCTTTGCTTTGGGATACGCTACAGGCTTGCTAGCTGTCAGCCAGTTAACCCAAAGGCGCGCTCAAATTTTAAGCTTTTGGAGCCGGCCTCGTTTCACGAGAATCCAAGAGCCCTCTTGTCTTGCTTTGGTCAGATCTGTTCTGTTTGCTTCGGTGTTTCTCATCATGGCTCACTTAGGTTCTCTGCTTTGACGTATGGTGGTAAGCTTTGTCTACTCAGTGTTGCCGCAATTCGATTGCTTGCTTTGTGCTTCGTACTCTGAGCTGCATTTCCGGCAAAGTCAAAAAAGGAGAGAGCGTGTGCTTATGGTAGGTGCTTTTCGGGCCTGGACTTTTAGGGCTAGGTAGTGGCTTTGGTAGTGTGGCTTGAACTAGCTGTGAACCCAGCTGTTGCCACTTCAACAGCAAAGATGCCGCGGGGTCATCGCAATGCTGGATCAAGCCAATTTCGCAAACAATCTTGCCTCAATCGACCCAGGATTCTGTGTGAAACTGTCTGTTGCTGAAGCACACGCTGCGAAGCATCCATGGTATCGCAGACCTAAAAGGTGTTCCGGCGGCTTCGGGTGCCACACCGCCGGCTTTGGCAGGAGTGCCCTTGTCCACAAACACTCCCATGGGTATTTGTGACGCAAGTATTCCTGGAGCTTGGGTTCTTTGAACCCTTGTTCACGCCAGTAAGGACATTCCTTGAGGACATGCTCCAGAGTTGCTGGCATTTGGCACTTCTTGCACCATCCTGGCTTGGTCTCCGTGATGACGCCCGCGTGCCACACTGACTTTATACCTTCCATAAGGCCTGGGCTTAGGCCTCCCAGCTTCGTCAGCTTGTGATGCGGCGTCCAATCCAGCCCCTCTTGGGCACCAGCGCCACCTGCCTGTCGCGCTATTGCAGCCCGTTTTTGTTCCTCCAGGAATCCCTCAAGCCATTTGTAGGCGAGGCTACCCATGCGTGGCTGGGTCCAATCAACGTTGAGGACGCTTCCTCTCTTCCATTTGCCTGGGTCACTGGCATCCACCTTCAGATCCATTAAGTACGCCATGGTTGCTGCCATCGGCCCCGTGACCAGTGGCCAGTGGTGTTTGGCCGCACTCAACCTCTTCCAAGTGGTTTTCCAGGCCAAGTCAAAGTGGGCTTTTCCGCCACCAATCCATGCACGGAAAACCTTGGCCACCACCTTGAAATGCTGCTTGTGGATTGTGCGCTTTGGATCCTGGCATTTCTTGGCTCCCATGTCCAAGATGGTTTCCAAACTCCCAAGCTGTGGGAATTGGAATGTCCAAAGAAGCCTGAATGCAGCTAACCTCCACCTGCAGCTCCGGGATTTCCGATGCTGTGAGGATGCGAGGCTTTGGAACATCGATTTCTATGTCGATCCCACAAACCCATCCCTGATGATTGATGGCAGCGGACGTGAAATCAGGTACCTGGGTAGGCTGGTGATTATGGTGTGTGGCCCTGATGTGTCGAGAAGGATGCTGGCCTTGTCGGAAGATGATGAGGAATGGATGCTCCTTTGAGGTGATGAAACGTCGCCGGCCAGTAACCAGGCAAACCCGAATGCAGGCTTAGCTTGCCGGAATGAGGGTGATCAACATACCCTCGCAGCACAATGCTTTCAGAACCCGTGAAACCAGCGGAGATGCCATGTGAGGCTATGCAAGGGCAGTTTCGGCCTCGCTATGCTGGAGTAAAGGTTCGGCCTCGCCTCGGCTGAGGGAATGGATGATTCGGCCTCGCCAAGGCTGAGGGAACAACAGAAGGGTTGCGAAAACGCCTCGCTGATGAAGAAGGTGCATGATGTTCCGGCCTCGCATCAGCTGAGGGAAGAATGATGGAATGGGCAGGCCGGGCACTTATTGGTCTGCCGGAATTGAGTCTGGGAGACTCTGGAAGCACTGCATGCAGCTTGGACGGCTGATGCTACTGGGCGCAAAGCGGTAAAGCAGCTTGAAGCATAGACTCCGCGGTGCCGGTGTGTCGGAGCAATTGATAGGTACAACCGCAGCCCAGCAGTGCTCAATCAAACAATGCAACATTCGGCCTCGACTTTGGTCTGAGGGAATGTGAGCTATAAAGAGCAAACTCCAGAATATGGATGAGGGACACTGGCCAGGCATGGAGGCCAGCAAAGGGCAGGTACCAGCATTGCACTGGAGAAGCCTCGAGTCCCAATGGCAGTGAACTTTGTGGTGAGGAATACGTCGACTGGTAAGTAAGTGCGAGAAAGCCAGGGCGATTCTGGGGAGAACAGCAAGGCACGGTTAGTAAGTGCGAGAACACCGGAGCTGCTGAGAACCCTGGATTAGCCGGGACGTACTCCGTGGAGGATTCGTTGTCACTGCTTTCAGAAATGCCCACAAGGACCAAGCATGCAGCTAACCCGTGGTCGCAGAGTGGGCCTCACTTCGGTTGAGGGTAATCGACTCCCAAGTGAGAGTATGGAGTTTTGGTGGCAAACAAGAGAGCCAGCCGACTGTCTTTGGAACAATGGCTACGGCTGGATTGGAGAATGTCAAGTCTCACAATGGATAGCGGCCTCGTACATAATATCCTCACAGGCAGGGTGGGTTTGACCTGGTAGTCGGCACCTTGCCCGGCCCCCTGTCAGGCGCCTGTACCGGCCACCTGTTGAAGGTGTGTGGCGTGGGGTCACCGGTGCGTAGCGGCGATTTCGGTCGCTTAGCGTCCTCCAGCCTAAAAAGGGGTATGTTTGGGCAGGTACTTCACCTGTTCCTCCTGCTTGGCTCGTGTTGGAGATGTGTGAATCGAGGGCATGGATCCGTCAAGGTGAGATGACGAGAAAGTGCAGAATTGGGCCTCAATCAATATGGAACGGTCTATGGGGATTGACCACCCCGCTGGTAGAGGGATAGCGGCCTCTGAGAATCGGAGGGCATGGATCACCTCCCGGCAAAAGCCACAGGAAGTATGCCCTGTGCATGCAAGAGGCAGCCACCGTAACCAGAGTCCATGAAGCCTTGGGCCATGACCTGGTTTGAAGACATGTCCGGCCTCACTACGGTTGAGGGGTGTGGATGGAAGCACTCAGGACATGCAATGAGACTCGTAGAACGAGCATCTGGGTCTACAGGAATTGACCTCCATTCGGTTGAGGGATAGCGGCCTCCACGAACGAGGGCATGGATCACCTCCCGAATAGACAACACAGAGAATGTGCAAGCATACAGGCAATTTGCCTTGGCCAAAGTCTTCAAGCCAATGGCAACGACTTGGTCAAAACGACATTCCGGCCTCACTTCGGTTGAGGGTAGCGGTACGTCAAAACCGAGGACAAGGAATGAGAGGGGGAACTTACCGGCAGTTTCACCCCACAGTTTTAGTAAGCTTTTGTTTCACTTGAACCCACAGCCCCTTCGGGTGGCTACGCCTCGCAGCGTGCAGACGAAAGTTCCTGTCTGGCTCAAGTATCGGCTCAACCCCGGTGGGGTGCTCAGGTAGGGAGTGCTGTTGCCTGGAGACTGTACCTAAGGGTGGGCTCCAACAGGACTCGAACCGAAACCACTGTGTTTGCTTGGTAGTCGGCCGCAAGCAACATAGCTGCCTGAGTACGGCCTCGCCAAGTGCTGAGGGAACTTTTCGGCCTCGCTTCGGCAGAGGGTGTGTTTTCGGCCTCGCTTCGGCAGAGGGAGTGGCCAGTTTCGGCCTCGCTCCGGCTGAGGACACATAAAGTTCGGCCTCACTACGGTTGAGGGGATCTTCCGGCCTCGCATTGCTGAAGTGCTGGTGGGACTGGCATCAGGCTGCAGCAGTCATGGGGAAGCATTGTACTGTGTGTGCCCACTGTGAGGTGGGTTGGGTCTGGAATGAAGACTTGTACTACAACCCGAACTGCTGGCATTGCGGAAAGGCGTGGAAAAAGGCCACCTACCGTGAGCGAGCATGGTCAAGCCAGCGTAAGAAGTGGCAATGGCCAAAGGAAGACGCTACATGGTGGACAAGACATGCCAAGAACAAAGAAGGGATGGCCGACCAAGCCCTCACGAAGGCGTGGGGTACGCTTTCTATGGAGGCAAAGAAGGCCATCGAAGAAGCAGGATGGAAGCCGCGGACGATGGAGCCGGGGCCCATTTGGCCCCCGGGACTACCAGGAAGTGGATCGCAAGCCGAAAGCATGACGCAAAAGGAGTACCATGCGGCCATTGAAGCGGTGTGGCAAGGAGCTGAGCCCGCAGTGCAAAGGCTGCTCAGAGCAGCGGGTATTCCCCCGCCGGGGGACTACAAGCCCGAAGACGAGACGCCCAAACAGGAGCTCAGCCGCCATGTTGGTACATATAGACGGACGACAAACAAGCTGAGATCCCTCATTGAGAAGAAAGTCCGGCTTCAAGACAAAACGGAGAAGATCAAGAGCGAGTTCGAGCAGGCCATGAAGCAGCTTGCGCAAGTCAGCCAGGCCATCCAGACCACGGAGCTGGAGGTAGCGGAAGCACAGAAGAAGGTCCAAGCCTGCGTGAAAGATGAAGAGGACTCGCCATACAAGGACGTCGCGGCCTACCTGGAAAAGGAAGGGATCATCCTGTCTGAGGAGCAAGCAGAGGCGCTCAAAACGAGGATGGCGGTCAAGGTCGTGGAGACAGATTGGACGGGAGTCTTGGGACAAAGAGAGCCGGGCATGCCAGTCGAACTTGGCATATATGGGCCGATGCGCATGTCTCGAGATGTGTCAGTCAGGGCAACACCGACGGGGCGCGAACGCTCGCCGGCGCGTGCCCATGGCGAATGAAGCCTCAGGCTGGGACAGGAGCGGAGGGGCCGACACCTCAGGGCAGCTCCTGGTCCGAACAGCCAAAAGAAGCAAGCAAGACAGTCTGAGGAGTCTCAATGGGGAGACTCTGTTTACACTTTTGGTGGTGGCCGAAAGCAGTGTCACGGGGACATTGTATGGCCACAGGCGCAGGGGGAAGGCAGTCAAGCTGTGTCTAGTACCCATGTGCCTAGTACAAACAGCACAGTGGAAGACAGCCAAGAGGGCTGGAGTCCAGTCACGAAAGGTCCGGAGCCTGTCCGAACAGTAGAAAGCAGTTGGACGGTCACAGGGCCCAGATACTTCCATATGACATGGGAGGACATCGAAGAGGAAGGTGAGCATTCGGCCTCGCGAGAAGCTGAGGGAGGCAAAACGCAGAGAGGAGACCCGGCAGCGGAAAGAGGGGAGAACACGAAGGCCTCGCATGGCGCTGAGGAAATAAGGTTTTCGGCCTCGCAATGCGCTGAGGGTCACAGAGGCAAACAAAAGACCAAGAGGCGTAACGCGACACCAAAAGAGCCACCAAAGGAACTGCCACAGGAGTGGCACATGCTTTGCCAAGTGGTGGGTCAATATGATGCTCCCAGTGAGGCTACCGCACTCGAAGCCATTGAAAAACTGGAAGAGCAAGATCTAAACCGGCTGCAACAACGAGCATGCCACGAAGTGCTCCGTTCCTTTGTGGAGAAGGATGCACAATATGCCAAATGGATCCTGGAAGACGTGGCCAGGGGGTATCGCCAAGGGGATACGGCCGCATGTATCAGGATTACTGCGGCTAATATCACCAGCTGGAGAAAACCCATTGCGGCATGGATACACGAGCTAGGACCGGACCTGGTGGTGCTGCAGGAAACCCATCTCAGGACAGAGGGTATCCAGCAAGCCATGAGCCATTGCCAGGATATGGGGTATACCTTCATTGGCATGCCTGGCAGTACAAAAATTAAGGGTGTGCAAGGAGGCCTGGCAGTGGCGGCACCCCGACACAGGAACCTGCGATACCTTGCTGAATTTGGTTCAGGACCCGCGGGCTTCCTGGCATGTGCCATGCGAAACAAAGGCTGGGATTTGATCATCGTCAGCCTGTATTTGGAGAGCGGAGTCGGATTCCAGGCTCCAAACAATGTCCAGGTACTGGCGAGACTGATAGCCTTCCTCAAAGGCTGCAAAGTGCCATACATGGTGTTAGGAGATTGGAATGAAACCCAGGATACCATGAGGGGCACAACTATGGCGACAGAAGTTGGTGGTGCATTTGTTGGAGTGGGGGAACCAACGGCCCAAGGATCGGACGAAATCGATTACGGGCTGGTTGCGAAATGCTTGGTGCCCATCCTGCAAGTGAAAACGGATTGGGAAACCCCTTTTCGGCCTCATGCTGCGATGCATTGGAGGGTAGCCCAACCGTGCAGTAGCCCTGATGTTCCCCAGATGAAGAAGGCGGGAGCACTGGTCACGGAGACTGTGGAATACGAACCAGTTCAAAACACACAGACCATCAACATCTTGGATGAACCCAAGATGGAAGATGAGCTCAGTGAGACATTCGCTCACCTGAGTGCCGGTGTGGAGAGGTCGATCACAGGCCGAATCGACGGTATGGGTGTTAAATCGGAGATTGTCCGGAAGAAATTGGTGGTCAACAACCCGGAGAACGTTGTCTGGACAGGCAAGAGGGCGGCCTTTTGGAACCGGGTCCAACAATGGGTCAAACAAGGCAGACATCATGGCGATGCGCATCCGGTGGCGCGTCTGGTCCAACGCAGGCTCGGCGAGTATTACGAGGGTGATGCGCAGAACCAGGAGGATATGCTCGTGAGTATCCTGGGCCGGGGTACGAACGCTAGACTTGTTCTGAAGCGCATCGACGAACAGCAATGCTACGCGAGAAAGGCGGATATGGAGGAGACAGCCCACCAGTACAAGCAATGGCTCAGCAAGGCCATGGAAAAGGGCATGCGACCATTATACAATGCCTTGCGAAAAGAAGAACAAGTGGTACAAAGACCCTACATGGAATATGACATGCTGGAACGGCCACACATTCGCCGAGACCACTGGGCGGCAGTGTGGACGAAGGGCCAGCCGTTGGCAAAATCGGCCTCGCTCATGACGGAGCTTGAGGATGCAGCCAAAAAACAAGCGGCCAGCGTGGAGCCGCTGAACCCTGTAGAGGTCAAGGCAAGGATCAAAAAACTGGCACTAAAGAGCCCGGGGCCGGATGGCTGGAGGATTGACCATTTGCAGGCCATGGACGACAAAGCAGTTGAAGCCGTTGTGTCCTTCTACCATGAATGTGAGGCCAAGGCAGCATGGCCGCAGCAAATGACAGTCTCCCTTATAGCAATGCTGCCGAAGAATCTGACCCGGGAAAGACCAATCGCCTTGCTACACATCCTGTACAGGACCTGGGTCCGGTTGCGATGGGATTTGGTAAGTACTTGGCAGGCAGGCTATGCCAAAAATGCCACGTACGACAAGGCAGTCCCAGGCAGTTGCTGCTTGGACGTGGCCGTAGGCAGACTGCTGCGAAATGAGGTGGCGAAGACAAATGGTGTGCATGTGGTGTCACTCTTTGTGGACCTTGAGTCCTTTTTCGATACCATCCAATTTCAGCAACTGATTACGGCAGCAACGGCCCTGCAATATCCACCGCTAATCCTGAAGATGGCACTGATGCAAAAGTGGAAGCGGAAGGCTTGATCTTCGCCACTGACGCAAGTGGAGGTCCAGGAGGAATAGACCCACGTGTACAAACATCAGCCCTTGCAGTGGTGGCTATGTCCTGGACAAAAGGTGTCCTAGTGGAAGTCGGACGGATTACAGAGCTGGTCTACCCGTGGCAGCCGGTGGTGGACATGGAGCGTCGTGCACTTTTCCGACTAATGGAGCACACGGAGGATCTGATTGATGTCACTATGGATTGCAAGCCGGCAGTCCAAGTGCTACAAAAAACACAACCGCCGGAGGATGACCTGGAATGGAGCAAAGTGTGGAATGGCAGGAAACGTATCAAGGCAACATGGGTCCCGTCCCACAAAACTGAAGAGGAATTCCTGGCGAAGATGGGGCCGGGTACGTTGTGGCGACGTGCAGCGAATGACATGGCAGACAAAGTATGTGGAGCAGTGGCGGCGGCTGCTTACAGCCCAGCGCACAAGAGGCGTGTCAAAGAGTTGGACAATGTGGTGCGCACACTTTCCCTGGCGTACGGTGCACGCGCAGCCCACATATTGCGGAAGCGCAAAGAAGAAGACTTCCCCTTCATCCTGGACCATGCGCATTACAAAGAGAAGATGGAAGCCTCGCAGAAAGCTGAGGGATGCAAAAAAGAGCAGGGCAGCGCCAAACTCAACAAACGCCAGCGGCTTTGGCAGTTGCTTAAAAACCCGGAGCGCGGGCATCAATGGGAGAAGGGCAGCGAACACCCCCGGAATTTAACACTGAAATGTCAACTGTGCGGGTTGTATGTACAACAAACCCTCACGAACTTGGAGGTGGTCTTGGAGCAGTACTGCGTCAACCAGCCGGAGGCGCGAGTGCGTGAAGAGTGGGGTATCCACCCCTCCCATAATATGGTGAATTTGGGAATCCGTTGGGTTTGCACAAAGTGTGACAGAACACATGCACCGGTCAGCCAGAAGTGCAATAAAAGCCTGGCGGGTGAGTGCAAATCGCGGACTTCTCAAGGCAAGCTGGCTACCCAAGCGCAAACCCTTGTCAATGGTGGAAGTATGAGCAACGTCCAGTTTCAGCAGCCTCGCGTTCAGTTTGGTGGGAAACACGCCAAAGCTAAGCCCCAAGCCAGCGCACAGCAGAAGATGTCATTGTTTGTTAGGCCTCGCCAAGCTGAGGGAACGCAGTAATTCCGCAGCCGTTTGGTGCAAGGAGCAGGGTTTTTTCGGCCTCGTAGCTGAGGGTGAGGGCCTCGCAACGGGGACTTGCGATTGGTATTTACGGCCTCGCTTTGCTGAGGGAGTGTAATTAGGCCTCGCGGTGCCGCGTGCTTGCGACATCGCCGGACAAGGCGGGCCTGTAGCAATGAGGCAATGGAAGACGGATGCTACGATGAGAAGACAAGGGTCCCGCCTGCCATCCTGGTTAAGGAATCGGCCGGACAAAGGCAAGGGCAAAAGCAAGTACAAGCAGAAGGATCAGCCCCGTGAACGTTCCCCGCTTCGACAGGCCAGACACCCGGAGCAGCCTTGGGATAGTGAAGAGGAGAGAGCTTCGGAGTCTCCGGTGGGTCCGGAACGCCACGGGAGAGAGGAGAAGACAGTACGGCCTCGCCTCAAGCTGAGGGTGTCGATGAAGAGCAAGAGGCAAGCCAGCCTCGTACAGTCACTCTGGCGGAAGGGCCAGGTGCCCACAATATGGCCTCGCAGGAAGCTGAGGGAAAGGAGTAAAAGAAAGCCATGGGGCAAGTCAAGCCTGTGCACCTTTTGGTGCATAAATTGCAGAACCAGCAAAGGCCAAGGACAGCGCTCCATTGGCTGGGGGAGGTCCAATTGGTCTGCAACCCAACGACAGGGCAAAGCTTACAGCCTAGGGTGCTTCCCTTTATAGGTGCGGGGCGCACTCGACGAGGATATGCTCTGGATCGGCTATGGGTCATGAAACTAGCGATGGAACCCCAGAGCTTTGGCAACGAAGCAGGGTATGGGGAACAATTCCCCACCCTGGTCACCAGGACCCTGTGGGCAGGATGGATTGGAGTCCTTTTCGACGAAGCGGTGGAGGGTTACTGCCACCACTACTTATATGGAAGTATCATCCGCAGGGCAGAGCTGTTCAACACATGGTGGCAGGAACATCGCCATGAAGCCGGGGTCCTCAGACAATCCCTGTTTTACCTGGTGGCTATAACGTCATGGCTGACCATGCAAGGAGTTGCTCTATCGGATATCACGGTGAGCAACGTTGGGCGCGACCCAATGTCCGGATCGCTACCACGGGCAATGTTCTTTGACACGGCGGAGTGGACGACGCTGCAGGAGGAGAGATACAAGATATCATGCGGCCTCGTACGCCTCCTGGAGAAATATGATGAGGAGCTACTGGCAACCATACGTGGATTGGTCAGAACGTACGACGGCAAGGCCAGCGCGCTTTGGATGGCGTGCGTAGGCAATGTCGGGCCATTTGCCCAGCACCTGCTGGATGCCGGAATTGCAAAACGAGGATGGGATGGAACCTTACATTCGGTTCCGGCAACAGAGATCCAGAAAATCACGTTGGGCATGCCGTATGACGAAGCTGATGAGTGAGCAGCGCAGAACAGACAAGAAACATGGATAGTGGTCAGAGAGGCACCAACAAACCGAATCAAAATACCGCCTCGGCGTGCTGCCTGAGGAGTTTCGGCCTCGACTTCGGTCTGAGGGGTGCAAGAGAGGGAAGTTCGGCCTCGGCATGACCTGAGGGAATTTCGGCCTCGACCACGGTCTGAGGGAATGGATTTCGGCCTCGACAAATGTCTGAGGAAAGTGAGGGCTAGTACCGGTAGTCTCACTGTGCAGAGTTTGTAGCTTGTAAGTTTCACCCACTAACCTCAGCCCCTTCGGGTGGCTACGCCTCCCAGCGTGCAGACGAAAGTTCCTGTCTGGCTCAAGGTTTCGGCTCAACCCCGGTGGGGTGCTCAGGTAGAGAGCGTCTTTAGTGCCGTTGTGGCTGGCCCTGGGGCTTGTAACTAAGGGTAGGTTCCGTTTTGAGGCCCTGGCTAAACTGTGTTTGCTCGTAGGCCGGCTGACCGGCTAAGCTGTCATAGAGCGGCGGCCCGCCAACTGCTGCCGACGACGAAGGACGTTCGAGTGCACAGTTTTCGGCCTCGCTTCGCTAGAGGGAAGCTTTTCGTCCTCGCGTTGCTGAGGGAACCTTGTGGCCTACAGTCTGCTCTGGGTCACAGTGAGAGTTGCAGCCTCGATTTGCTTGAGGGGTGACGCTAGAGCCTGTTGCTCACCAGAGATTCCTGCTGTCTCTGGGTGAACAAAACCCGCCGACCCTCATTTGGATTGAGGGCTGTGTGTTAGGGTGAGTTTGGGTTCCTCGCTCGTTTGTGTGGAGAACGAAGGTGAGACCGAAACACGGGGGAAAACGGCCAAGGCACGTTGCAGACAGTGCAGGCCAACGTCGCACTGCAAGCGGCATCCTTGCAGTTGTTGACAGGAGTGTCCCGAACAATAGCGGTGTGCTTGAGCCCGAGTTTGCTGGTTTTCGGGGATCTGCAAGCTGAGCACAACTGGATATTCTTCGCAGGTAGAATCAGGTAGAACAGATTTGGCCCAACCCTGGTGGATCTGCCTGGACACAAATAACCAAAGGCATCAGTGTCGTAAAGCTCATTGACTGGTGCTACTGAGAAACCGTTGCCAAAGAACTTGCAGTAGGACTGTGGTGCGGCGCAGTGCAAGTTGAAGAGCAGCTGTGGTGGCTGCTCCCCGGAAAACCAATAGTCCAAGAATGCCTCCTTCGGCCTCGCTCCGTGCTGAGGGTTTGTAAGGGTTGGTATTGGCCGGAAAGGATTCAGATGGAGGTTACCCGATCTTCGCGCTTTTCCCATCTGAAGGCAACCAATGGTAATCAGCCTGCTGGACATGGCAGGCCTGCTTTTGTTTACATCCACGTCTCCTGCAAGGGCTGGGGTCTGTCCGTGCACACAGACAAGGCGGAACCTTGCAGATGTTTAGGTCCTCGCGGCACGGCCGCTGGAGGTTGTTTGAAGATGTTGGCTCTCACTGTCTGGTGAGTGGTTTTATGGGCACTTGCTGGGGCAAGGCGGCTCTGGCGTCTGAGGATGGTACATGTGCTGGCTGCTGAGTACGGGCCACCGAAAGAGACCTGTGGTAAGACAAGCGATGAAAGGAGCCGAACTCCTAAACTCTAGGACAGGCTAGCTCACGCGGACGCCACGCAGAGTATGTGTCACTATCTTCAGATGTTGGAGCCAAATTGCCTAGCCGTGTGACGTGTGATGTGGTGTTTGGATTCGGCCTCAAGCACTGGAAGGCCTACAACAACAAATCCGAATGAAAACTGTGGTCCTAAGACACGCGGAGCAGCTGCTTATACGTGGCACCGCGGGGGTCACATAGAGATAGAGGGCTTGCCAGCAAGGGAACTCTGTCTAGAGATAGCCCTGGCTCAGTGAGGAGCTGAGGGCCTGGCTGCGCAGATGCAGCGGAATGGTTGTTCGGCCTCGCCTCCGCTGAGGGAACAACAGTCCATGCTTCTCTGCAGTGTCGGTCCGGGTTAGTAAGAGCGAGAACGCCGGGACCTCGAGCTGCAGTTTTACCATGAAGCAACCGCGTGAGATGCATTATTGGTCAACTGGTGAGTAAGAGCGAGAAAGCCAGGGTGACGCTACTTTGGGGGAGGCTGCAAGGCACGGTTAGTAAGTGCGAGAAAGCCGGAGCTGCGGACGAACCTGGAGTAGCAGTCTTTCATACCTCACGTGTTTCACTTTGCGGCCTCGCATGCGCTGAGGAATATGCCTCGAACAGAACATCCAGTGCTGAGTGGGGATTGCCAAACTTAGGGAGGCTGATGCCACAACAAGTGCCTCAACAGCAATGCATGCGGAGGGCAAAGTCGGCCTCGCGAGTGCTGAGGGTTGCAGCTGAGAGAGGGCCTAGCTGAGAACGCAACACCTCAAGCGAGGTAATTTTTAGTTTAGTTTCACTTTGACCAACGGCCCCTTCGGGTGGCTACGCGACGCAGCGTGCAGACGAAAGTTCCTGTCTGGCTCAAGTCTCGGCTCAACCCCGGTGGGGTGCGCAGGTAGTGAGCGGATCGGTGGCCTGGAGGCTGTACCTAAGGGTGGGCTCCAACAGGACTCAAACCGAAACCACTGTGTTTGCTCGGTAGTTCTGCCAGCCACATAGCTGCCTGTGTACGGCCTCGCCGAGTGCTGAGGGAACTTTCGACCTCGCTGCTGAGGGTGTTGTCGGCCTCGCCTGAGCTGAGGATTGTGGAAAGTCTTCGGCCTCGCTTCGGAGGGACAACATAGTTCGGCCTCACTACGGTTGAGGGAAACACCTCCTGGAACTGAGGTGCAAGAAGATAGCAGACCTGTGCGAGCGAATCGGGTTCCGAGGCCTTAACTTCCTTTGGTGGAACAGGGCCCCGTCTCAACCCCAGAATTCCGCCCGTGGGCTATCGGCGACCAAAGTGGCCGTCCACTGTGCCCTGGACAGTGTGCCACACGCCAAAGAGACTTGCTGCAAGGCAGACGGAGAGCGACGGACCATGCCGGCAATTGCATGCTGTGTATTTGCATGGTCACACCAGGGGCGTAGTGAAGGACTCTTCCTGGAACTGTCGCAGTCATATCGTATCCACTTTGTCCGTCGCACCAGGAGAGGCAACATAGCCTGGGGCAGCTGTGGGAATTGGAATGTCCAAAGAAGCCTGAATGCAGCTAACCTCCACTTGCAGCTCCGGAACTTCCGATGCTGTGAAGATGCGAGACTTTGGAACATCGATTTCTATGTCGATCCCACAGACCCATCCCTGATGATTGATGGCAGCGGACGTGTAATCAGATACCTGGGAAGGCTGGTGATAATGGTGTATGGCCCTGATGTGTCGAGAAGGATGCTGGCCTTGTCGGAAGATGATGAGGAATGGATGCTCCTTTGAGGTGATGGAATGTCGCCGGCCAGTAACCAGGCAAGTGGAAGTGGATTGAATTGCGAGCACAGCCTCGCCACTAAGGGCCATGTGAGGGCAAACCCGAATGCAGGCTTAGCTTGCCGGAATGAGGGTGATCAACATACCCTCGCAGAACAATGCTTTCAGAACCCGTGAAACCAGCGGAGATGCCATGTGAGGCTATGCAAGGGCAGTTTCGGCCTCGCTATGCTGGAGCAAAGGTTCGGCCTCGCCGGGCTAAGGGAATGGATGGTTCGGCCTCGCCACGGCTGAGGGAACAACAGAAGGGTTGCGAAAACGCCTCGCTGATGAAGAACGGTGCATGAAGTTCCGGCCTCGCTTCAGCTGAGGGAAGAATGATGACAAGCAGTTCCTGGAAAAGATGCCGCATGGGCACAAGAGGGACTGATAATTGCGAGCATGACATGGAATGGGCAGACCGGGCACTGGAATGAATGGTCTGCCGGAATTGAGTCCTGGAGACTCTGGAAGCACTGCATGCAGCTTGGACGGCTGATGCTACTGGGTGCAAAGCGGTCAAGAGCTTGAAGCATAGACTCCGCGGTGCCGGTGTGTCGGAGCAATTGATAGAAGACAACCGCAGCCCAGCAGTGCTCAATCACACAAAGCAATCATTCGGCCTCGACTTAGGTCTGAGGGAATGTGAGATATGGAAAGAGCAAACTCCAGAATATGGATAAAGGAAACTGGCCAGGCATGGAGGCCAGCAAAGAGCAGGTACCAGCATTGCACTGGAGAAGCCTCGAGTCCCAATGGCAGTGAACTTTGTGGTGAGGAATACGTCGACTGGTGAGTAAGTGCGAGAAAGCCAGGGCGATTCTGGGGAGAACAGCAAGGCACGGTTAGTAAGTGCGAGAACACCGGAGCTGCTGAGAACCCTGGATTAGCCGGGACGTACTCCGTGAAGGATTCGTTGTCACTGCTTTCAGAAATGCCCACAAGGACCAAGCATGCAGCTAACCCGTGGTTGCAGAGTGGGCCTCACTTCGGTTGAGGGTAATCGACTCCCAAGTGAGAGTATGGAGTTTTGGTGGCAAACAAGAGAGCCAGCCGACTGTCTTTGGAACAATGGCTACGGCTGGATTGGAGAATGTCAAGTCTCACAATGGATAGCGGCCTCGTACATAATATCCTCACAGGCAGGGTGGGTTTGACCTGGTAGTCGGCACCTTGCCCGGCCCCCTGTCAGGCGCCTGTACCGGCCACCTGTTGAAGGTGTGTGGCGTGGGGTCACCGGTGCGTAGCGGCGATTTCGGTCGCTTAGCGTCCTCCAGCCTAAAAAGGGGTATGTTTGGGCAGGTACTTCACCTGTTCCTCCTGCTTGGCTCTGTTGGAGATGTGTGAATCGAGGGCATGGATCCGTCAAGGTGAGATGACGAGAAAGTGCAGAATTGGCCTCAATCGGAACGGTCTATGTATGGGGATTGACCACCCCGCCGGTAGAGGGATAGCGGCCTCTGAGAATCGGAGGGCATGGATCACCTCCCGGCAAAAGCCACAGGAAGTATGCCCTGTGCATCAAGAGGCAGCCACCGTAACCAGAGTCCATGAAGCCTTGGGCCATGACCTGGTTTGAAGACATGTCCGGCCTCACTACGGTTGAGGGGTGTGGATGGAAGCACTCAGGACATGCAATGAGACTCGTAGAACGAGCATCTGGGTCTACAGGAATGACCTCCATTCGGTTGAGGGATAGCGGCCTCCACGAACGAGGGCATGGATCACCTCCCGAATAGACAACACAGAGAATGTGCAAGCATACAGGCAATTTGCCTTGGCCAAAGTCTTCAAGCCAATGGCAACGACTTGGTCAAAACGACATTCCGGCCTCACTTCGGTTGAGGGTAGCGGTACGTCAAAACCGAGGACAAGGAATGAGAGGGGGAACTTACCGGCAGTTTCACCCACAGTTTTAGTAAGCTTTTGTTTCACTTGAACCCACAGCCCCTTCGGGTGGCTACGCCTCGCAGCGTGCAGACGAAAGTTCCTGTCTAGCTGAGGATTGTGGAAAGTCTTCGGCCTCGCTCGGAGGGACAACATAGTTCGGCCTCACCACGGTTGAGGGAAACACCTCCTGGAACTGAGGTGCAAGAAGATAGCAGACCTGTGCGAGCGAAGAGGGTTCCGAGGCCTTAACTTCCTTTGTTGGAACAGGGCCCCGTCTCAACCGCAGATTTCCGCTCGTGGGCGATCGGCGACCAGAGTGGCCGTCCACAGTGCCCTGGACAGTGTGCCACACGCCAAAGAGACTTGCTGCAAGGCAGACGGAGAGCGACGGACCATGCCGGCAATTGCGTGTATTTGCATGGTCACACCAGGGGCGTCGTGAAGGGCTTTTCCTGGAACTGTCGCAGTCATATCGTATCCACTTTGTCCGTCGCACCAGGAGAGGCAACATAGCGTGGGGCAGCTGGAAGTGTACATGGGTGCCAGATATTTGGTGGCGGATGGGGTGCTATCGGCAGGCATCAGAGCTACGAATGGCGTGCAAGCGGGTTGCCCAGCGGCGCCATCGTTGGCAAAGGTGGCATTGCACCCGGTGATTGATAAGATCCAAAGGCGAAGAGATGTGACAAATGTGGATTGTTGGTTGGATGATGTCTCAATTGACATCCAGCATAAATCCTTTAAACAAGCGGCGGATAGTGCGATACGAGTCTACCGCAGCTTAAAGGACGGGATGGACGCCAATGGTTTCACGATTTCATCCAAGAAGACAGGGTTTGTAGCCAGCAGTACCCAGGCGAGCAAGCACCTGCGAGGACTACTGTTACCGCATGAGCCGCAAGTGTACGACGTGATGCGTGACTTGGGCGTCGACAGTACAGGTGGGAGAAAGCGTCGCTTGGTGACGTCGGCCACGCGGGCGAAAAAAGCACACGCACGACAAAGCAAGCTGTCCAGGCTGGGGCCGCCGCCCAGCAGTAAACTCCGCGTGGTTAAGGCTGCGATCACATCCGTGGCTATGTGGGGGCACCCATCAGTGGGGGTATCACCCAAAAGAATGAAATGGCTCCGTACAGTGGTTGGAAAACACCTGGGCAAATACAAGCTTGGTAGTTTGGAAACCATTTTGGACATGGGAGCCAAGAAATGCCAGGATCCGAAGAGCACAATCCACAAGCAGCATTTCAAGGTGGTGGCTAAAGTTTTCCGTGCATGGATTGGTGGCGGAAAAGCCCACTTTGACTTGGCCTGGAAAACCACTTGGAAGAGGTTGAGTGCGGCCAAACACCACTGGCCACTGGTCACGGGACCGATGGCAGCAACCATGGCGTACTTAATGGATCTGAAGGTGGATGCCAGTGACCCAGGCAAATGGAAGAGAGGAAGTGTCCTCAACGTTGATTGGACCCAGCCACGCATGGGTAGCCTCGCCTACAAATGGCTTGAGGGATTCCTGGAGGAACAGAAACGGGCTGCAATAGCGCGACAGGCAGGTGGCGCTGGTGCCCAAGAGGGGCTGGATTGGACGCCGCATCACAAGCTGACGAAGATGGGAGGCCTAAGCCCAGGCCTTATGGAAGGTATAAAGTCAGTGTGGCACGCGGGCGTCATCACGGAGTCCAAGCCTGGATGCAAGAAGTGCCAAATGCCAGCAACTCTGGAGCATGTCCTCAAAGAATGTCCTTACTGGCGTGAACAAGGGTTAAAAGAACCCAAGCTCCAGGAATACTTGCGCCACAAATACCCATGGGAGTGTCTGTGGACAAGGGCACTCCTGCCAAAGCCGGCGGTGTGGCACCCGAAGCCGCCGGAACACCTTTTAGGTCTGCGCTACCAAGGATGCTTCGCAGCAGATGCAAAAGTGGAAGCGGAAGGCTTGATCTTCGCCACTGACGCAAGTGGAGGTCCAGGAGGAATAGACCCACGTGTACAAACATCAGCCCTCGCAGTGGTGGCTATGTCCTGGACAAAAGGTGTGCTGGTGGAAGTCGGACGGATTACAGAGCTGGTCTACCCGTGGCAGCCGGTGGTGGACATGGAGCGCCGTGCACTTTTCCGACTAATGGAGCACACGGAGGATCTGATTGATGTCACTATGGATTGCAAGCCGGCAGTCCAAGCGCTACAAAAAACACAACCGCCGGAGGATGACCTGGAATGGAGCAAAGTGTGGAATGACAGGAAACGTATCAAGGCAACATGGGTCCCGTCCCACAAAACTGAAGAGGAATTCCTGGCGAAGATGGGGCCGGGCACGTTGTGGCGACGTGCAGCGAATGACATGGCAGACAAAGTATGTGGAGCAGTGGCGGCGGCTGCTTACAGCCCAGCGCACAAGAGGCGTGTCAAAGAGTTGGACAATGTGGTGCGCACACTTTCCCTGGCGTACGGTGCACGCGCAGCCCACATATTGCGGAAGCGCAAAGAAGAAGACTTCCCCTTCATCCTGGACCATGCGCATTACAAAGAGAAGATGGAAGCCTCGCAGAAAGCTGAGGGATGCAAAAAAGAGCATGGCGGAGCCAAACTCAACAAACGCCAGCGGCTTTGGCAGTTGCTTGACAACCCGGAGCGTGGGCATCAATGGGAGAAGGGCAGCGAACACCCCCGGAATTTAACCCTGAAATGCCGACTGTGTGGTTTGTATGTACAACAAACCCTCACGAACTTGGAGGTGGTATTGGAGCAGTACTGCGTCAACCAGCCGGAGGCGCGTGTGCGGGAAGAGTGGGGAATCCACCCCTCCCATAATATGGTGAATTTGGGGATCCGATGGGTTTGCGCAAAGTGTGACAGAACACATGCGCCGGTTAGCCAGAGGTGCAATAAAAGCCTGGCGGGTGAGTGCAAATCGCGGACTTCCCAGGGCAAGCTGGCTACCCAAGCGCAAACCCTTGTCAATGGTGGTAGTATGAGCCACGTCCAGTTTCAACAGCCTCGCGTTCAGTTTGGTGGAAAACACGCCAAAGCTAAGCCCCAAGCCAGTGCACAGCAAAAGATGTCACTGTTTGTTAGGCCTCGCCAAGCTGAGGGAACGCAGTAATTACGCAGCCGTTTGGAGCAAAGAGACAGGGTTTTCGGCCTCGTAGCTGAGGGTGTGGGCCTCGCACGGGGAATAGCGACTGGGTGTTTCCGGCCTCGCTTTGCTGAGGGATACTTTCGGCCTCGCGGTGCTGCGTGCAATCGGCATCGCTGAGGGAAACGACAGGTCTGGAACTATGAGGCAATGGAAAACGGACGCGACGATGAGGAGACAAGGGTCCCGATTGCCATCCTGGCTCAGGAATCGGCCGGACAAAGGCAAAGGCAAAGGCAAGCACAAGCAGCAGGATGAGCCCATGCGAGACCGTTCCCCGCTTCGACAGGCCAGACACCCGGAACAGACTTGGGATAGGGACGAGGCGAGTGCTTCGGAACCTCCTGCGGGTCCGGTACGCCTACGGGAGAGAGGAGAAGAAAGTGCGGCCTCGCACCAAGCTGAGGGTGTTGATGAAGAGGAAGACGAAAGCCAGCCTCGTACAGTCACGCTGGCAGAAGGACCAGGTGCCCACAACATGGCCTCGCGGGAAGCTGAGGGACAGGAGCCAGAGGAAGCAACGGGGCAAGAAAAGCCAGTGCACCTTGTGGTGCACAAACTGCAAGGACAGCGCTCCATTGGATCGGGGAGGTCCAATTGGTACGCAACCCAACGACGGGGCAAAGCTTACAGCCAAGAGTGCTTCCCTTTATAGGAGCTGGGCGTACTCGAAGAGGATATGCTCTGGATCGGCTGTGGGTCATGAAACTTGCGACGGAACCCCGGAGCTTTGGCAACGAAGCAGGGTACGGGGAACAATTCCCCACCCTGGTGACCAGGACCCTGTGGGCAGGATGGATTAAAGTCCTTTTCGACGAGGCGGTGGAGGGCCACTACCACCACTACTTTTATGGAAGTATCATCCGCAGAGCAGAACTGTTCAACCCATGGTGGCAGGAACATCGTCAAGAAGCCGGGGTCCTCAGACAGTCCCTGTTTTACCTGGTGGCTATAACGTCATGGTTGACCATGCAAGGGGTTGCTCTATCGGATATCACGGTGAGCAACGTTGGGCGCGACCCGATGTCAGGATCGCTACCACGGGCAGTGTTCTTTGACACGGCTGAGTGGTCGACGCTGCAGGAGGAGAAATACAAGCTATCATGCGGCCTCGTACGCATCCTGGAGAAATATGACGAGGAGCTACTGGCAACCATACGTGGATTGGTCAGAACGTACGACGGAAAGGCCAGCGCGCTTTGGATGGCGTGCGTGGGCAATGTCGGGCCTTTTGCCCAGCACCTACTGGATGCCGGGATTGCAAAACGAGGATGGGATGGAACCCTACTTGCAGTACCGGCAGGAGAGATCCAGAAAATCACGTTGGGCATGCCGTATGACGAAGCGGATGAGTGAGCAGCGTAGCCCAGACAAGAAACACGGCTAGTGGTCTGAGAAGCACCAACCGACTCAAGAAATACCGCCTCGGCGTGCTGCCTGAGGAAGTTTCGGCCTCGACTCTGGTCTGAGGGGTGCAAATGAAGGAAGTTCGGCCTCGGCAAGACCTGAGGGAATTTCGGCCTCGACCACGGTCTGAGGGCATGGATTTCGGCCTCGACAAATGTCTGAGGGAAGTGAGGGCTAGTACCGGTAGTCTCACTGTGCAGAGTTTGTAGTTTGTAAGTTTCACCCTCTAACCTCAGCCCCTTCGGGTGGCTACGCCTCGCAGCGTGCAGACGAAAGTTCCTGTCTGGCTCAAGTCTCGGCTCAACCCCGGTGGGGTGCGCAGGTAGTGAGCTGTTCGGTGGCCTGGAGGCTGTACCTAAGGGTGGGCTCCAACAGGACTCAAACCGAAACCACTGTGTTTGCTCGGTAGTTCTGCCAGCCGCATAGCTGCCTGTGTACGGCCTCGCCGAGTGCTGAGGGAACTTTCGACCTCGCTGCTGAGGGTGTTGTCGGCCTCGCCTGAGCTGAGGATTGTGGAAAGTCTTCGGCCTCGCTTCGGAGGGACAACATAGTTCGGCCTCACTACGGTTGAGGGAAACACCTCCTGGAACTGAGGTGCAAGAAGATAGCAGACCTGTGCGAGCGAAACGGGTTCCGAGGCCTTAACTTCCTTTGTTGGAACAGGGCCCCGTCTCAACCCCAGAATTCCGCCCGTGGGCTATCGGCGAGCAGAGTGGCCGTCCACTGTGCCCTGGACAGTGTGCCACACGCCAAAGAGACTTGCTGCAAGGCAGACGGAGAGCGACGGACCATGCCGGCAATTGCATGCTGTGTATTTGCATGGTCACACCAGGGGCGTCGTGAAGGGCTATTCCTGGAACTGTCGCAGTCATATCGTATCCACTTTGTCCGTCGCACCAGGAGAGGCAACATAGCCTGGGGCAGCTGTGGGAATTGGAATGTCCAAAGAAGCCTGAATGCAGCTAACCTCCACCTGCAGCTCCGGAACTTCCGATGCTGTGAAGATGCGAGGCTTTGGAACATCGATTTCTATGTCGATCCCACAAACCCATCCCTGATGATTGATGGCAGCGGACGTGTAATCAGGTACCTGGGAAGGCTGGTGATTATGGTGTATGGCCCTGATGTGTCGAGAAGGATGCTGGCCTTGTCGGAAGATGATGAGGAATGGATGCTCCTTTGAGGTGATGAAACGTCGCCGGCCAGTAACCAGGCAAGTGGAAGTGGATTGAATTGCGAGCGCAGCCTCGCCATTAAGGGCCATGTGAGGGCAAACCCGAATGCAGGCTTAGCCTGCCGGAATGAGGGTGATCAACATACCCTCGCAGCACAATGCTTTCAGAACCCGTGAAACCAGCGGAGATGCCATGTGAGGCTATGCAAGGGCAATTTCGGCCTCGCTATGCTGGAGTAAAGGTTCGGCCTCGCCTCGGCTGAGGGAATGGATGGTTCGGCCTCGCCACGGCTGAGGGAACAACAGAGGGTTGCGAAAACGCCTCGCTGATGAAGAACGGTGCAGGATGTTCCGGCCTCGCATCAGCTGAGGGAAGAATGATGGAATGGGCAGGCCGGGCACTAATTGGTCTGCCGGAATTGAGTCTTGGAGACTCTGGAAGCACTGCATGCAGCTTGGACGGCTGATGCTACTGGGCGCAAAGCGGTCAAGCAGCTTGAAGCATAGACTCCGCGGTGCCGGTGTGTCGGAGCAATTGATAGGAGACAACCGCAGCCCAGCAGTGCTCAATCAAACAAAGCAATCATTCGGCCTCGACTTTGGTCTGAGGGAATGTGAGATATGGATAAAAAAGCAAACTCCAGAATATGGATGAGGGACACTGGCCAGGCATGGAGGCCAGCAAAGGGCAGATACCAGCATTGCAATGGAGAAGCCTCGAGTCCCAATGGGCAGTGAACTTTGTGGTGAGGAATACGTCGACTGGGGAGTAAGCGCGAGAAAGCCAGGGCGATTCTGGGGAGAACAGCAAGGCACGGTTAGTAAGTGCGAGAACACCGGAGCTGCTGAGAACCCTGGATTAGCCGGGACGTATTCCGTGGAGGCGTCGATGTCACTGCTTTCAGAAATGACCACAAGGACCAAGCAAGCAGCTAATCCGTGGTAGCAGAGTGGGCCTCACTTCGGTTGAGGGTAATCGACTCCCAAGTGAGAGTATGGAGTTTTGGTGGCAAACCAAAGAACCAGCCGACTGTCCTTGGAACAATGGCTACGGCTGGATTGGAGACTGTCAAGTCTCACAATGGATGGCGGCCTCGTACATAATACCCTCACAAGCAGGGTGGGTTTGACCTGGTAGTCGGCACCTTGCCCGGCCCCCTGTCAGGCGCCTGTACCGGCCACCTGTTGAAGGTGTGTGGCGTGGGGTCACCGGTGCGTAGCGGCGATTTCGGTCGCTTAGCGTCCTCCAGCCTAAAAAGGGGTATGTTTGGGCAGGTACTTCACCTGTTCCTCCTGCTTGGCTCGTGTTGGAGATGTGTGAATCGAGGGCATGGATCCGTCAAGGTGAGATGACGAGAAAGTGCAGAATTGGGCCTCAATCGGAACGGTCTATGGGGATTGACCACCCCGCTGGTAGAGGGATAGCGGCCTCTGAGAATCGGAGGGCATGGATCACCTCCCGGCAAAAGCCACAGGAAGTATGCCCTGTGCATGCAAGAGGCAGCCACCGTAACCAGAGTCCATGAAGCCTTGGGCCATGACCTGGTTTGAAGACATGTCCGGCCTCACTACGGTTGAGGGGTGTGGATGGAAGCACTCAGGACATGCAATGAGACTCGTAGAACGAGCATCTGGGTCTACAGGAATTGACCTCCATTCGGTTGAGGGATAGCGGCCTCCACGAACGAGGGCATGGATCACCTCCCGAATAGACAACACAGAGAATGTGCAAGCATACAGGCAATTTGCCTTGGCCAAAGTCTTCGAGCCACTGGCAACGACTTGGTCAAAACGACATTCCGGCCTCACTTCGGTTGAGGGTAGCGGTACGTCAAAACCGAGGACAAGGAATGAGAGGGGGAACTTACCGGCAGTTTCACCCCACAGTTTTAGTAAGCTTTTGTTTCACTTGAACCCACAGCCCCTTCGGGTGGCTACGCCTCGCAGCGTGCAGACGAAAGTTCCTGTCTAAGGACATGTTAACTTTGTTGTCCTGCATGCTGGCTCAGAGTTGTGTGTGTGTAGTTGTAGGAACTCCGTAGTTGTGCCTTGGAGGCTCGACGGGAGTGCTGCTTTAAGTGGGAAAGCCTTTTGAAGTGCTTGAGTTGTAGGGATGTGTGTCTGGAAGCTGTAGAAGTGACTGTGCACGTTTTTGCTTGCTTTAGGTGTAGTTGGGTAGGTCCCGAGAACTCCCACTGACGTTTGAGTTTGTTTTGTGGCTGTGGAGAACACGTGGCAGAGCAGAGTTTTCACCTGTGTGTAAAGAGTTTCACTGACGAAGCCTCCGGCTTATGACTTTGGCTCAAGTCGTGAGAAAAAGAGGGTTCAGCGCGCTGCTGCTGTGTTTTCACAAACCCGGACCTGGGGTTCGGGCTTGAGTTAACCCCAACCGACCCCTCACCTAAGCTTCCCTGATATCAGAAGCAGTAAAATTTCAGCGTCCATAAGCATTGTAGTTAAAATGGAGGGGGGCTGCGCCCCCCCAGCCCCCCCGCTTATTTAGGTTGCGCAAGCTTGCTTTAAAATCGTGCGATCCAAAAAAAAACTCACCCATTTAGAATAATTCTCTTCTCCTCTCTTCTTCTACAGCTTCGCAGGACAACAAGAAACAAGGGGGTGCGAACAACCTCAAGATCCCAAGGTCTTGGGTCTTGCCCAGAAGGAGCACCAGGGGTGATCCCCTTTCTCTTGAGGTGTTGCACGAAACTGATTACACTTAGAGAAAACGTGGATTGTGGTAATATCTTGGCTGAGTGCCGACTCTGGAAAGACCTCCAGACTGTAGGCACTTCTATGTGGAGAACACCACTGCCATGGCAGGGAGCCATTGAGCACCTGTGCACTAACCTGGCCTTCAAGAGGGTCATCCTCGTCTGTGCTTGGCCTGCGGCGGCACAGCTGTTTTGCCGCTTGCTTGGCTGCAATTGGATCAAAGCAGTTTTACCATGGAGATTCTTGCGCTTTAGCACGCAAATGTAATGTAAGCCCTCCCATCTCCTTACCGACGTACCTTGTGGGTTCGGGTTTGAAGGGACCTGATGCAGACTGATGCGCAGGCCAACGCAAAAGCTGTGTGGCCTTGTGTGCGATGTCTTGACTGGGGGCCTTTGGTCGCCACTTTAAACTCTGTGCTTTTAAGGGTTTGGCAACGTGCTGATGACGCTCACGGTGGAATCGGCAGCTGTAGCTACTCACGCAGTGAAGGCTTGGCCTTCCCTGGCCGTCTGATAAGACTTTGCTTGTGCGCGGACATCTATCCAGGTGGGCGCAGCTGCAAGCCAGGGTGAGCGGAGGACCTTTCGCTCGGGGCTGCTCCACTGGCTGACCACCATGGAGTGCTCTGGGCCGGTCTTGCCTTGATGGTTCTTGCTGTTAAGTCTCCACTGGCTGACCACCATGGGGCATACGCATGTCTTTCCTCTCCTTGGGGAGTCTGACCCGTAACATCCCTTTGCCACTGCGGGTCTGTTATCTGTCCTTGACGATGGGTACGGGATGCTGACTATCGAGTGATGACCTCGGTTCGATTCGAATGATGTTGCACCAGTAGCTACATGATGGTGGTTTTGAGAATCTGGCAGTGTCGCAATTTGCGATTCCCCGCATGCTCTGTGCTGTATGATTGCACCGGGACTTCAACGACGACTTCGAGTACTGAGTGCGTGGGGTTACCTAGTAGTTCAGCGCCTTTGCTTGCTTTGTTTCTTCTGTTTCTTTGGTTCTTGGGTGGTTGCGTGGTGTGTTTGGTGGTTTGAGCGCGCTGACTTCGTTTCAC